CTTCATTCCAAAATGTGCAAATAGTTTCCCCTTCTCATTTCCTCTCCTGCACACAGATCGACAAATGTGAACATGACAGTAATGCCGTTTAGATAGCACACAGCAATCCAGTTCATTTGAGAATTAATAGTGGTGCATGGAGCACGACAGCATCTTGAAACAATGAATCACTGGAGAGGACACATTTGGACAACGTTTGTCTATATTGTTAAACACTAAGGTGCAACAAATCCGGATTATCTGGCAATGGATTATGTGGTATTGTTTAGCACTTCACACACACACACACACACAATCTCTCTCTCTCTCATTACCTCACACCACCATACTATATGGGGTTGGGGAAAGGTGCTTGAGAGCGGTGGAACATTAAGTGTTTCGTGTCACCCGGTGAACTCAGTGCTATTGTGCCCGTATGCTGGCCCATATCTGGGGAGGCAGGAGGGTCTGCTGTGACAGGGTCCTATAAAGGTATACTAAGAGAGTGAAGTGCAGAGAGGCTTCATCCTGCACTCTCTGCCCGCTGCCTCTTCACTTGAGTATGTTCTTTGGTATGTGTTGCTCCCCAGCCATTGTATATTTGTGCTCTCAGTGGCCTTATCTCAGTGGTGTGGCATTCGCCCAATTGTTTTAACGCAATAACACTTAAATTGTAAGCAACATGTTCTTGTTGTTGCAACTCTATACCAATATAAGTTTGTAGAGGCACTGGATATTGTTTTTGTTTGTTTGTTTTTTTTTACACTCCACAAACACATAAGATTTATTTTCACCTAGTGAATGTACAAAGTTCTGTTCTAAATTTTGAAATGTTAAGATTAGGTTAAAATTGGACCCTTTATCTTTAAGAGTGTCAGATGCACATTTTAAAAAAGATTTTTTTTTTAAAAATAGTAGGCTACTTTTATTTCATATTATAATAAATATTTAGTAAAGCCATATGTTAACCACATCCTTAGATCTCATAATGAATCCTGTTACTGCCATAAATGTATGCATGTGCTATATGTTCCTCCAGAGCTGATAACCCTCCATTGGACCCGTGTTGGTGGTGAGGCGCGGCCGGGAGAGCGTGAGAGGGGACAGCCGTCTCAGGAGGGAGCGAGGCAGGAGCGGAGAGGGAGTTCGACGCGGAAGACATGGACTGGCTGTTTGATGGCCATTCCAGCTGAACAAACAAAACACCCCAAAACACGATGAACCTGGGAGTTGGAAATATGTGCGGGTCTGCTACGAGGTCAGATTCCTAACCGTATCTAATTCAATTTTACAAACTGTAAGAAAACACAGAGCTTGATGGAGCCTCGATCTCCTTGCAAATAATGCTCATATACAAAACAGTTTTTGTCTGTGATCAAAGGCGTCGAGGCAACGGGTCAATTGGTTTTGAAACAAGTCCATTTGCGTAACCGTTATAACTTCAAAATAATAAATGTGTTGAAACCAAATATTGTGATTAGTTCGTCTCCCTTTTTGACACACAAGTCTCCTCAAGGGGTCCACAGTGTCAGTAGCCGGGAGAGGCTCGCGCTGGCGCGCGCACGCGGAGGACTGCTCGCGCGGTGGTCCGGTCAGCTCTGTTAAAGACATTAGTGCAGCGCTCGAGGAGAGCGCGGGAGGCTCATAGACAGCGCTCACTTCTCTAAATAAACATTAGTCTTAAAAAGTTTGGCCCCGCGACCTCTCTCTGATCGCATTTCACTCTGGATAGTAAACTTCATTTTTATCGCGGGACTTTCCCATTCTTTCCGAAAACAGTCTTCGGTTTACGAAGATATGAAATGCCTACACTGACAAAGTTTCTCTTTCACCTGGCTCTGGGACAGCCGTGTATCTAATTTCTTTTTTACTGTGGAAAATAGAGCCGTTAAAAGTGACACGGGAATTTGGGTTTAATTTCAAGATGAAAAAGGTATGCATGCTTCTCCGTTGAGAAACGTGGTTGGATTAGTCTTGAAAACCAAAAGATCATTATTTTGTTTAGACAGACCTCAAAATTTCACACTGAGGGAAAATCAGTCTTTTAGAGTGCAAAAGAGAGATTATAGGTGAAATGTTATGCCGTTATCTGAGGCGACTCGACATCCCCACTTTTCACTTAAGATTTTTCTCTGTCTGTCGCTGATAGTTTCTTGGGACTTTGCTAAATTGAAAAATCACTACCCTCGTTGCACTCTCTGTATTTAAATGTAATTTCCTAAATTGGGAAGTGTTGGAGTTTGTTCAGTTCTTACTAAAAGCGAACCCTAGTTATTATAGACTGAGAAGAAAGTTATTTTGAGAGGTGTGGCACTCACGAAGGTCAAAGCTGTTAAAAAAATATCATGATTTGTTATCACAACATTTTTTCTTTTGTCAAATCAACTTAGATAATTTATTTGGTTCAGATAACATATGTTTTGAATTTCTATTTCTATTGTAATCCAATTTCAAATTATTAACTCATTTTATTTTCCATTTCAACCAACTTTACTTAGCCTACTTTAAACCAACAATAAATTTTTTACCGTGTATAAGTGAATAAAATGAGTCAAGCAACCCGAAAATAAGTCATTCAAATTAATCAGTTGTTACGGGGTTGAACTAGGTGGTATCCTGACCGGATAACGGGAGCATGCTCGCGGACAGACGACAGCTGTCCCTCTCCATCAAACTAAGAGTTTTTGGGTCACAAGTTAAGTCCTCGGGCTTCCATAATGCTAACACTAACCCGTCACTAAGCCAGGCTCCGATATCGGTGATATCCCGGCTACATCTTGGAGGGAGTATTTGTTACTGTTTTGTGGCAAACAGACGAGACTCACGGAAGGATAAGTTGGGCGTATTGCCATGGAGACCGTCATTAAACGGATCATACATCACTTTTGTCGAGCGGTCATTTTTAGGTCATATAAAGAAGCTATTGTGCTCATCGGATGACACAACAGATTTGGGATTGTTCTTCAGTAATCGCTCATCGCGGAGATGCCCGTGTTTCTCTGTGTGTGGGATGGCAGGCCAACAGCAGGTGTCCTTCAGTGAGTCCCAGTGAGTCGAAGTAGATGGGGCGAACACTTCCAAAGTTAATATTTTGTTTCCAGAGAAGAGGGGCGGCCTGTATCTCTACTTTATTTACACATTCTAAATTAATTAAGCAGAGGATTCCTCGGTGCGCTAGAAAAACATGGAGGGGGAGATGCTGGGCTGTGGAGGGAGGGCCTAATTTATTGTGGCCGTACATCTCTGCTTCATGCCAGGGTGTCAGGGGACTCGGCCGACGGCATTCCTTCACAATGAGGGCTACAGCTCCCATCATCTCTTTATTTCACCGCTTTAAATGAAAGAGCATGTTAGAGAGAGAAAACGAGAAAGGGAGAGAGAACGAGATTTTTTAAAGACACAACAACAGAGTTTAATGCGCAACCCACCTATAATTGTTTTAACGAGAAAAATGAAAATTACAGAGCGTGAAAAAAAAAAACACAAGCCACACTGTTTACTTGTAATAAAAAAATACCGAATAATGACAATAAAACAAAATTCAAGAGGTTTCATTAGTTTTGTAAGACTGACACCAATTTCATTAACCATCACAAGATTAATATGAGATCACGTTGCATGATGCGCATTAAAAGATGAAGTTTAAAACAGATGTCTGTTTTAAAAACCGGCCTTACATAGACGAAAAAAACTTTCTGTGGGCTATATTCAATAGAGCCGTTTCTGCTGAACGCACGAGCGCGCAGCACCGTGTAGTTCCTGCAGCAGGTGCCCCAGTTCCGCTATAGCCTACATGTAGACATCTCAGACTCGTTTTTATATAAATATTACATAATATTATAATATGGAACTAAAATATTTACAAGCTATGGACTTGTAACAATATCCTCACTAATATTACAAACAGAGTGGAGTGTTGTTCGTCACAAGCCAACGACGGCAACAATTTAATACTACTAGGCTAATAATAATGATATTAATAATGTTTGAAATAATGCTTAAAAAAATCTCTAAATTATTTTTATTAAATATAGGCCAAATGAGATATGCAAGAAAATTAATTTTCAGAAATGATTAGCCTACAGTGAATGCCAGATATAGCCCAAAAAATAGCATATTTAATATTTCACACAATTATACGTTGCTATACGTATATACGTTACTACACTGAAAAAAGTGATTTTGTCGAGTGGTAAATATAATCTGTGGAAACCATATAAAATGTACATGATTATTGCAGGCAGCCAACGAATCCTAAAGTAATGGGTAAATTCTACATATGCTACCCATTCATCAACAGTAAGAATCATCACATAGAAAAATGGAGTAAAATATACCCCCAAAACGTGAGTTTTTTGCTTTAAATTGCGCATGCGTAGGCCCGCGGTTTCTTTTGAGTGAGTGTGGGCGACGCTGGATCCTCTCTCTGGCTGCCATCGAACAGCAGAAGTGAAGGTAAGCTATTAACATAGGAGTGCATATATTTTTAATTATGAGACATTACACTTCGCTTTTATTGGGCTTTCGTTTGTTTAACATGTCATTACTTGAAATTAAAGTTTGAATCTGTCGATGGCGTCACCATGGCGGAACACATCAAGCCGACGGTCGGCCGTTGGGCACAGATTTCAAAGTTACTATCAGATTTAATGTGATTACCTTGACAAATTATACATTATTAAGCAAGACTCAGGTTTCAGTATTTGACCACTGTTTCTGAGAAACTTATAGTGACCATATTAATTAATTTCAGGAGTATGCAATAAAAAACAGTCGATGGCGTTTTTAATATGAATTATGTGCGTCATTCATCCGCTCCCATTCATAAATACCTCTGTCGTCGTCATGACAGAGCTCGACCAAACAAGTGCTTTCAGCTCAAAAATATGCAGATTCTGAGAAATATTTATTGATTATCATAGGTTTCTGTCAGATTTCTGTATAACGTTAGAGGAATTATATTTATTGAATACACCAAAATGGGCCGATGTAATCATAGCGCTGGATACTCCTCGGGTGTGTTTTCAATACACACTGGCAGCCGGCGGGCGTCGTGTGCACATAATTTATAACGCTACTACATAATATATCACGAAGAAGAGCCACATGACCTGTGACACCTGAAACCACAACAAAGTTTCCAAAGATCGCTGAATACTTGCAGATAACATGATTGCAACGATATATGACGCATTATTTGTGTTCTTCAAGCCATGCAGATAACTTCATAATATATTACATTTATAATGTAAGTTAATGTTAATCGATATAATCTTGATAGTCCAGAATACTATAAAATACAATATTTTATGTCCGTTTTTTTTATCCGAAGCCAAGTCAGATCACAGAAGGTTATTTAAAGCAATCGACATGCATTATAAAGTAATTTTGGAGCAAAAACGTGGTTTTATAATCTCATAAATTGTAGTGTATTGATGTGTGCTAAGCTAACATGCTACCTAACCCTCAGAATGCACCTGCCATATATAGCTGTTAGATTTATGTTTTTTTTTTTAATAGGATTTAATAGGATTTTTTTAATAGGATTTACTGAAATGTTTCTTTTTTTAATTTACAGTTGATAGCCTACAGTGTCAACAGAAGTGAAAACGGATCAAAGAAATTGAAGTGGTCAGCCTCAGCCCCTCTGTGGGTGTGTTTATTCTAAAGTGGCCAGCATTATTCACTGAAGCTCAGGTGAGAATTTCTTGTAATTTTTACTTACCACTAGTATACATTCATGTGAATACTATGAGAGCTGGTCTTTAATTTAAAATGTAAATTTTGGTCATTTAACTTCCTAGATCAAGGAGGAGTTTAGACGCATCACAACATATTCCTTGGAGGAGACATTCACACGGAAGCTTGATGAGTACTCACGAGGTCTTTTGCGGCTAATGCGCGCCAAAGGAGAAGTAGCTGGTTGCAAGATGTGTCCTCTGCTGGACACTTTAAATGACGTATGTAATTTTATTTTTTCACAAATATGTAATTATTGATATGAGTGAATTAAAACTAAAGTAATTTGTAAACAATTGATTTGTTGTGCGCAAAGTTGAGCTCCTTACCAACTTAAACCTTTTAACATCAATGTGTGAATTCGGTCTTATCCATCTATTTTCTTTACTGCTTTGTCCGTTCGGGTCACAAGATTTTTGAGCCAACCCAGCATTTATCAGGTGAAGGGCAGTGTTCATTCTGGATAGGTCGCCAGTCTGTTGCAGGGCCGTAATTCGGTCTTAGTATATGTAAATCACTCCCCACTTCGCTAACATTCTAACATCACTAAATTGTATCTCCCTACAGACACAGAACATTGAGAAACATGAGATGCTGTTGTCTGCTGCCTCATTAAAGACAAGACTACCTTGGTGAAAATCAAGAAGATCTTTTCCATTACTACCAGGTATGTCATATCATAACAGATTTTTGATTAACTCAAAGGATCCTCCTCTCTTCTTGTATCCACCTTCTCCTTTTGCCTTCCACTCCCCCTCTGCTCTCCTTTTAGATAAACTGAAATATATTGAAACAGCATCTTACATTAAATAAAAATGTGCATGCTTTTTGTTTGTTTTTTACATGTAGGAATGTGAGGACTACACAGACAAAAACATGAAGGTGATTGTGAAGCACAATGTCATGGCTGAGGAGGATCCAGATTTGTCTATTGTGATCGAGGGAAACCAAGTAATGGAATCACAGAGTTTAGATACAACAAAATGTGATTGGACTTCTTCCAGTACTGCTCTGATCTCCTCGCTTCTAGTTTCATTTTCTACTCTCTCCTCCTCCTAAAACAGCAATGTTTTATTATCCAACATTATTGAAACAACATTTGATAGTCCAGTGAGTTAACATGTTCATTACTTGAAATGCTGTGTAAAGTTATTGTGCTGCACTGTATTTTGAGTGTTTCATATGAATTTTTGGATTAAAAACATTGATCTGATGAACCATGTGAATGTCTTTATTGTGGGGGGGTACATTTTACCTTCTCTGAATAAGTAATTAGCTTTGATTTGAATAGATAATTTTTACCTAATTTTAACGAGTAAGTAGCTGTTGATAAATGGAGGTAATTGTTACCCAATTTATGCAAGTATTTAATAGCTTTTTACTTCAGATAGTTTATACTCACTAATATGGATTAAATGTACCCCACCAAAGTCGATGCAAATTGTTACCTCACATTTTTTGGGTAAATTCTATAGATTAGTTTTTACAGTGTATACTGTGGTCTGCAAACAGCCTAATCGTGACTGAAGAAGAAAAATAAATCTTTTTAATGCGCTTTTATGCATTATTCACCGTTAGCCTAAAACGGTGTCACGTGCAACTTCTTTGTTCGTTAAAATAATTATCCGTATTGAAAAAAAAAATATTTATTTAAAGTAGATAATAAATCACAATACAAAACAATTAATAATTGTACCCCTTATCCAGAAATATTGAAATGTTAAATATAGAAAATGCTTATTTGCATCCCAAAAGACTTTTCTATAATTTAATTATGAAAGTGGTGAATTCTTCTTAATTAAACACGAATGTGTTACAGACATAAAAAAAAATAATTCACTCACGCATAAAAAATATTAATACGCTACATTTTCAAACAGATAAGGCCTATAACTATTAAGAACCTGTCTAAAAATAGGTCACATTATACATAATAAAATAATAATGTATGCGTGCATTGGCCTGAACGAAATATCAATCGAATAGCATCATTAAATGTAAACTTGAAATCTTGCAGTTTACTATATACGCTCAGATAATTAAATAATTGAAAAGACCTTTCAGTGCGCGCAACAGTGGGAACCCCATGATTCTGATGAGTAGCCCGTACAAAAAAAAAAAAAAAAGCCGACAATAAAAGCTGACAACGTCGCAACATAAAACACCAGGCCAGAAGCGAATACGGGGTTGTTTTAGAGATATCCTTTTTAAAATTACAGTGATAGAAGAGATAAGTAGAGATATACTTTGCTCCATGCGAAATCGTGGGTGGTCTCCATGGTGTAACTAACGCGCCACACTGAAGAAAATGAAAGCGAAATGAACAGGCAATTAGTGGGATTCGTAACCCATGATTTACACTTTCGATCCGATTAAAGGAGAGTGATGTGATTTCTCATGCAGAGACAAAACAAGACTCAAAAGTACTGAACGTCAAGAGAGAAGATAAATATCCTTTTTTACATTAAAGCCCATCTCGCATTTCGCCTCCTTTAATCAGGAGCCGGTCTTTCTAAAACTCAACTAATCACCACAAATTCATTAGCAGTAAATTATGACTGGCGCAAACACGACCACATGAGTGCACGCGTGGTTAGGTTGAGGAGATTTCATTCATAGGCCTCGAGTAGTTTTATTCGCTGTGGCAAGTAGATCAAAAGTACACTATTGTGTACTGTTACTTCCTCTCTGCTGCTCTTTGTCACCTCGACCAGCAATACATTTATCGCTCTTCCTCCCAGGCTTTTTTACGCGTGTTTGCTAGAGAAGCACATGACCTCTGCCCTTAAGTCAGCCTGATGTTCCAAACTAAAATCACCCTAAAAATAATAATAATAATAAAAAAATAATAATAAAAGATAATAAAATTATAGTCAGTCTCTATCATTATTCACAAAGCATCACATTTCTGTTAGCTATACAGGCCTCTCCGACTATATTAATTTACCATAATCCTCAATAATTCAGTTTACAAATCAATACACACTGCAACTACTTAAATAAAAATAAAATTTTTAAATATCTATATGGCTTTATATATAAAAAAAAACTAAATACTGTTTCTATATTTTACTATTATAGCAGACAAAAAAAAAACTTTTTTACGCGGCGCATTTGACTGATGGTCCAGAAGTGCTTGGAAATGCGGTTTAACTAGATTAGTTTGGTCCAGTTTTGATGTCATGAAATATAGAACAGTATGTTATCCTGTTTTTTTTAGATGTTTTAACTTAACCGACCTGTTTGCATTCGCGTCAAAGCATTTGCTAAGTTGAAGAAAAGGAAAAAAAATACGGTGAGTCAGCCCTTCGTTAAAAGCCTAAAACCAGTTGTCAAAAACACCCCACGAAGCGAATTTACCCATTTGCGCACGAAACGAGTAAATAAAGGCAGCTTTTAATGCCACCTTCTGAACAGAACCGTGTGCTCGGCCAACTCTGAAATGGATTCATCAGTCTGTTTTTCGCACTACATTGAATTCCCGCTGCTTCCTTTGTACATGTCTCAAGACAACACAGATGACATGAAAGCGGACAACCGAGAGTCTTTTAAGACGATCGCCTTTCAGAAGCAAATGTGTGTGGCTTGTCTCGCTAGGGACCACTTGCTGGGTGCCTATTCAAGCCTTAGGGACAAGGTCTTCACTGACAACATCAACAAATGGGCAAAAAGCTGCATTATTGTGGATTAGATTCCAGATGAAAAAAAATGCTACCACAAATTAGCAACGAATCCTCAAAAGACGTGGTGGGTATCCATGTAGAACCATCACATTCAATTATAGGCTTTCAAGCGCTGATGTTCCCATTGCTTTAGCTCTTTGTCATTTGCCAGAAACTGGTCAATTATCATGGCTCAAAGCGCCACACAAGAGGAAACATGTGCCATGGGCCCACAAATACTAAATACTGGTGTGAAAACCTCACACTTTTCCTCTCTTTTATTAAAATCTATTTAAGCCTTAATATATTGAAGCAAATATTAAACGAATATTTTAACAACGTAACAATATTATTGTTCTTTGACTTTGAATTGTCTTTCATATTGCTGAAAAGTATTACAATAAACTAAAAACTAAATTAATATAAATTGATTAAATTGTTAAAATTACTTGTTTTCTAAAGTCACATAATTGTTTGAACATAATTGTATAAACGTTAGACAACTCTTTTAGGCAGGTCAGTAGGCCTGGTCGAAGACTAAATGGAAAGAAGTTAACGAAAGCATCTTCAAAATTCACAAACATTTATTGTCTTGCCATTACAACAGAAAATGACCTATGGACATTGTTTTGTCTCTTTACATATAACAACATTCTTTTCACAGATAATTTCTCAATGGAATAATGAAATATGTATATGCACAAGTGTCAGACAGAAAGAGGTAATGCGATTTACACCAATAACCACATAATCATCTATCAACAGAAATAAAATAAAAATAAAATTCACCAGAAAACGTCTGTTGAAAGATTTAGGGGAAGTGGGACGTTAACCTATATGTAATCTATTTACAGCCCCTATTGTCTCCTGGCAATGTGCTTTCAAAACAAGTAAATCCTGAGTTTAAAGTCTCGGTTATTGACAGTGCTTTTCACAAACTCACAAAATATACAAAACAATAAAATAGTTAAAACAATCTTCATTTAAGTCAACCAAAAGAGGAAATTCCATATCAATGAGTAGGCTACAAACTATTTAACTTTCTGGACAAAGCGGCAAAGGTCCATTGGCCGTCCAAAGGTGAAATCTTAGCTTACTGTTTACATGGTCTTAAATTTCCTCTCTTCGGCCTGTTTCTCTCTTCAAAATCTTACATATTTACAGTTCATAAATATACTTAATTAGCCTTTTATTTAAGAATTCAGAAACATGAAACGGGCGGCATTTTAGTCTTGCAAAAGTGTAAATCCTACCTTAGCAAAGGACGAAACAACCATAATAAACTGGGCTGCTGCACTTTCTATTTGCTGCCACTCTAGAAATGGCAATTGTTAAGGCTTGGCGTTTTGCTCGAGAAAGTCTGTGTGCCCGGCTGAAGCATCGTGTCCTGCGTTAGATTCAAGTGGTTCGTGGCCGAGGCAAGTGTTGGAGTCAGCATGGCCAAGATCTGAGCCTGTCCACTCGGTTGTGCGGTGTACGGCGAAGCTGGAGAGCTAGCCGCACCGATTATATTGTCTATAGAGAAGGAAGGCCGGCTCGGGCCATTTGTGTCCGTTTTGAGAGGCGCCAGACCAGGAAGAGTGGGGCTGAGTTGAGGATAGAAAGGCTTTCTCAGCTCGGTACCCAAAAACGAAGGCAAGCTGTGTGGCGTGGAGAATATCGAGGAAGGCGTTGGGAGAGCACAATGTGCGTTTTGGAAAGGGAACGCGCCTCCCGGGTGGTGTGGGTGATAGGGGTGATGCGCGTGGAAATTCTGCAGCTGTAGGCCGTAATTGTAACCGTACGGTCCGTAGCCAAAGCCAGGTAGAAATCCCCCCGCGTCCCTAAGGATCTCGTTGGCCTGGTGTCTTTTGAAGCGCTTCCTTCTGCGCAGAAAACTCCCATTGTCAAACATGTCGGCGGACTCTGGGTCGAGGGTCCAGTAATTGCCTTTGCCCGGGTTACCGGGTTCGCGGGGTATTTTGACAAAGCAGTCATTTAGAGACAGGTTGTGACGGATAGAGTTTTGCCACGCGGGGAATTTCTCCCGGTAATACGGGAACCTGCTGCTGATGAACTCACAGATCTCGCTGAGAGTCAAACGTTTCTTCGGGCTCTGCAGGATAGCCATGGTTATAAGGGCTATGTAAGAATAAGGGGGTTTCACCAACGCATTTTTCCCTGGTTTGTCCCCAGTTAACGCACCGGTTCTGCTGTCATCCTGTGGCCCGACCCGGTCAGCCGGACAGTCCAAGCTGCTTTGGCCCGGTGAGACTGCGCCCTCCCCCGCATTCTGGGATAGATTGTCATCGGAGTCATTGTCCAAGTGAAAACTATGATGATGGTGAAGATATTTACCCTCTTTTACAATATCCCCGCCAACAACATCGATGTCCACGTCGTCGGACAGAGCAGAACTGTCCGACATGTCCGTCCCCAGAGTCATCCTTGGAGAGTCTTTTTGTCTTCCTCTCTCGCGTTCCGTGTCCAGTCTCGTGCAGCACCCAGCACAAGCAGTGTGTCGTCTCAGTCACTTTCTGGAACGACAAAACTCCCGTCCTCCAGAAGCCAAGAATACGCTGTCTTCACGTCCTGGAGCCGCATAGAAAAGAAACGTACCTTAAGAAACGAAAGAAGACTCGAAAGAATCACACCGGACTTGCATAACACAAAAACTGTCCAGAGCTCAGAGCGCATTCAAGTCGAACAGGAACACTCGGTTCAGACCTCGATTTTCTCTTCATGGAGTGTGTAGTTGGTCCATATACAATACAAACTTTCGGATCATACGAATAGCATTTTGACTATGCATTCACTAGCTTTTCTGTTTTCATAATTCGAGAAGGCTATTTGTTCTCGTGTACAATCGTAGCGCTGTGCGTGAAAGAGCCTCCAAGTAGCCTATACCCCCGCGCGGCTTCCAAAAACTATTTATCCAGTCCCCACAATCACGTGATCAGCATGTCGGTAACCAGGAACTAGGGAAGTTTACAGACGAAAAAAAAGCAGCACAAGGGAGAAGTGTTATCAACTTGCCCTAACAAGTGTGCTATATGGGGAAATTTAACTGACATTCGCGACAAATGTCAAAAAGAATGCAGAGAAAATAAAACATTTCGCACGATTTAACTTTAATAAAGCCGAGGATTTTTTAAAGATGACAACAAATAAACTGTCAACACATTAATTTAATACAAAAATAGTACAATTTTTGAATTGCTTACTAAGTTTTTATTTTCTATTGTTGTTTAAAAAATGCATCATAACAATAAGAAAAAATATTAAATTAACCGTTAGCCTATTTTTGCATTGCATTTTATTGTTATTATGTTGTATTAAGCTAGCAACATCGATAATACAGCAATAATCGATAAAATGGTAAATAAACAAGATGAAGAAAGAAAGAAAAGCAATATTCTTTGCATTAAATCACCAGATGGATGTTTTTTTCCTTTGCCTGTTCAAAAGATAGCCTACAATCAAAGTAGAATAGTATTCGATCGAATCCTTCAAAAATATTTAACAAATCAAATGTTCCAATATATTGTCAGCGAATACATTTTAAAGGCAACAGTATAGCTAATTATTCACAAATTTGGCAACAGCAAGAATATAAGGGACAGATTATTTTATTTTTTTTTAATATTTTTTGAGACTTAGTCAAAGTTAATCCTCAATTTAGCATTTCCTACAGACAATATTCAATTGCACATTTAAATATTTCACGACATTTTAACGTTTATATTATTCATTTGCATGAATTAGCCTATTTCCAATACAGAACAGCACAAATCAATAAGTTGTTCTATCCTCGGCAGGTGTAAGTGCTAATTTAATGATTTATTTGGCATGAAAAATATCTTAAACTATATATAAATATTATAACATTTGCTCACAAAAAGAGGGTGAAAGGAAATTTGCGCTTATACAAAATCTTTTTTTGCGTTTGAGTTCTCTTTTTAGTGCCGTTATTCACTTTTTTTCTTGTCAGGGATTCAAAACAACCCCGTTTATGATTTTTTGCATTGCTATCAAAGCTATACATCTCCTAACGTAGCCTATGTAAAAGCACACACTCTCTGCAACCTGCTCGGATTCGTCTTTGCTTATGGGTGTTATGGGTGAATGACAAGCTTCATGCGCCATACAGAACGCGCGCGCACTCTTAAAAATAAAGGTTTTGCAGCGACGCCATACAAGAACCTTCAGTCAACAGTTCTTAAAATAACCTTTTTTTCTTAGTATGAACATCATTTTTAAAAATCTAAAGCACATTTTTCCACTATAAAGAACCTAGTGCATCAAATCCCGTGGATGCTATGTTCTTTATGAACCATCAATGCCAATAAAAATAACCTTTATTAGAGTCGGGCATCGAATTCTTTTTATTATGCTCATTATTCATACAAACAAGACCATTGTGCCTCCGATTAAAATCCGCAGGATATATGTCAGATTTCATGCTCTGCATGCTTAGTGACCATATTTTCAATGAAATATTTTCTCTATTATTCCGTTTCCCATAAGATAAGTAGGATTAGCCTAAACGTATTAAACTAATTAAAGTAAATATAAATAATTGGGCGTTTCGAGAATTATGTTCATGCGCAGCTTAGTTGATTGCTGATAAAATAATAACAATAATAATAAATTGTTATATAAAGGTGTTGAAGTTATAAAGGAAACAGGAAGGGTAAAAAATAAATAAAGTTAGTTCGAAATAGTAGTTCATGAACAGTTGTTGGAGACGATGGCATTACCGCAGCAATGTGTGACAGCTGCCTGTGGGAGCCCAAACTCAGAGGTCAAGTTAGCAGCTCGTGCATTTCTACTGTCTCAAAAAAATAAAAATAAATAAATCTATATTTGATTTCTGAATTATAGCCTATGACTCAAAAATTATATGATAAAATGTATATGTTATACTAGTTATAGGCTAATGCAATTAATATCTTAAGATAAAGGATGTACAGTTCTCTAGTGAATTAACTTTAATGACACTCTTTTCCGTTTACTCAGACAAAAAAGAAAAAGAAAAAAAGAAATGTCGTTCACGTTTAGAGCCCTGGACAACATAAATGTCAAAGTGCAAACCACAGGCGACACTCTGAAAAAGAACCAGATAATCACCGTCGGTTTTCGGCCTAAACTGACAAATTGGCTTCCCATTCCTATTTTTCCTCCTTTCCGCTTTTAAGTGGGATCACCAGTTAATGTGTCGAGGGCTTACACAGAATAAAAGGACTGCAAAGCATGCTGTAAATCTGTAACATTTTTAACCACAGTACTGCCACCTTGCGGTCCTAAACTGTATTACATAGTCTATAGACTTTAGAGCTAAATAGCGCTTGAACTCCGCATTCCGCACCAACAAAACAAACAGACAAAAAGAAAGAAAAGAAGAAATTCTTACTGTGGACATAAAACCTATAAATAATTAATTAAATAAAAAAATCACATTGTGCTGCAAAAAGTTGGAGGACCTTTGTTTCTTAATAACCAATAGAATTGCGCTCTTAATTAACTGAGGCCGGAAACTATTCTATTTCTCGAACTATCGCATGCGAATAGGGCGAACGAAGCGTAGCCTATCGTTACAAGTGAAAAAGAGCTGAATTCAGCTAAATTGCTGTTTGTAGCACCAAATTTTAAAGGATACTATCCGGAAAACACCACCAACCAAATCATACATTTATTAAAATAAATAGGCCAAACGTTCTGAATTTAAATGAAAAAAAAGAAAACTTTCTACATGTAAACGGTGGCGTTGTACTACTGCTTCGAAAGTAAATGTTCAAATTAAATGATAATAATTCAAGTTAAAAGTATATATAAATATAGCATTTATTGGCACTGCACTCGCGATGTGGACCATAAGGGGCGCAGTCTTGAAACTTCTTTACAGGCTTTTATTGTTTTTAAAGCTCATTGTACTGTCGGAAATAAAGACTATAGCCTAATAGCTTTGCATTGATGGGAAAAAAAATGCTGTCATTAAATATGATGTGATAAAACTGAAAGATCAGTTTACTTATAATGGACTTTGGAGTGTTCCGAGGCTCTCCATAATGAACATACGTTTTCTACGACGTGCTACATGATTAACCATTTTGAACCAAGGTTCTCATATTAGAGACCAGTGCCATGCCCTTAACTTGGCGGTGGCTGACATCTAGTGGATTTTATGTGAAATGCTCCAAATCTCGGTTTTTCAGAAATTATTAGAAACTTATTCCAATAGCCAGTCGATGTCGCCCCCTCACCAGCAAAATGAGTGCACACAATTTGCAATGGAAGATTAAAAATAGCTAATCTTCAAATATTTCAAGACTACTATTTATAAGCGTAAATATCAGTCTTCAAAAGTAAAAAAAAAAAAAGCTAAAGTCGGTTTGTATATGAAGAGTTCAGATGCAAAAGCCTCTAAATAAATGCCATTTGAAATTTTCTTCTAAAATGACCATTTTTATCAAGCTTGTATATTTAAGTTCAGTAATTTCACTTAAATGACAATTAATAGGTAATCTTCATTGCCATTTAAGTGAAATTACTGAACTTAAATATACAAGCTTGATAAAAATGATCATTTTAGAAGAAAATTTCAAATGGCACTTAGAGGCTTTTGCATCTGAACTCTTCATATATATATATATATATATATATATATATATATATATATATATATATATATATATATATAATTAAATATATAATTCATACTGGTTGAATTTTAACCAATTCATATCAGAATCATTTTAACCAATGTTAAATAACCTAAATCAAAACAAATTATTTAAATTGTATAGCCTACAGACTATTAAACAAAGATTTGAGTACAAGTTGATAAGTGTTAAATCTCGATTATCGTGTCAAATTATATGGATGTAATTATTATTATTATTACGATACTTATTAAATTGGATATTGAAAACATAAACCTAATATGTTTTTATGTAGGTTACCCTAGTTAAAAGAAGAACAAGCGAAAAATGATTACACAAAAACACATTTATTTGCATATAATATATTTACATTGTTCTGTGCGTTATTCTTGTCTTCTGATAAAACAATGTTTCAGACAACATATCAATACCAGAACTATATTCTTCATTTTAATTAACAAAAAAATGCTTTGCACACATACAGCCTACCAAAAACTAGTTAATTCCGTCACACGTTATCTACAAAACGTTTGTTACATAAATCAACAGGAATATGAACTCAATCTCGGGGCCACTGGCATTCAGTGGAAGATTATCATACAGTCAATGAATGCAGAAGTTTTCACATGTATCGCTCCAGTCCTGAGGCAAAATTGGCTTGTCTCATATATGAATTATTGTAGGAGTTCATTGCTGGTCCGGAGAGAGCTAAAAGAGAGTCTGTATGATCTGCACACGAGCCCGAACGCACAGGGGGCAGAGAAATCCTGTTCCCCGAACAGTACACCTGTGAACCTCCCGGAGAGAAGCTGGACTGCGTGACCCCGGACAGGTGAGTAGGCGAAGCCGAGGAGGGATACGTGTAACTGGTTGTCATGTTTGAAGCAAGAGATCCCGTGTTCCTGCTCAGCATGTTGCTCGTTGGATTGATCTGTTGCGTCTGAAAGCAGGTCGGGTCAGAGTTTGACACGGAACAGCTGGAGGTCATGGCACCCAAGTCTCCCATGCCGAGAGACTGTGCGTTGAGATCTCCTCCGCTTTGCATCATTGTCTGCTGACTAATAATATTATCGATGCTGAACATCCTGGGCTGGCCTTGCGTGACCCCGGCCGATGCCTGATAGTGATGCAGCATCGCCGGGTGCGGGGAACCAGCCAACTGAGACCCGTAGCCAGACGTCACACCCGGGTATAAGGTGTTGGGGTACGCCTGTCTACCCATTGGTGTTGGCGTGAAAGCGCTCGAGCTTT